ATTCTCTTTCTTCAGAGAATTTTCGATAAATTCTCTTTCTTTAGATAACTTTCGATAACTTCTCTTTCTTTGGAGAACTTTGGATAAATTCTCTTTCTTTAGAGAATTTTTGATAATCTCTTTAGAAGTGTTTCGAAAAATTCTCTTTTTTTTTGGAGAATTTTCGATAAATTCTCCTTCTTAAGAGAATTTTCGTTAAATTTTCTTTCCTTAAAGTATTTTCGATAAATTCTCTTGCATTAGTGAATCTTCGATAAACTCTCTTTAGATAATTTTGAATAAATTCTTTTTCTATCTAATTATTTACATATTTTCCATTTATTTCTCAACTTACCTTCTGCAATATCTTCTTCGCCACGGCCACGACAATTTTCAAAATAAAAGCTGGGTAAATTTTCTAAAACTTTGTTAAGACTTTGCTGTTGATATTTGTAGCCTTCGCGTAAACGCAACACTTGATGAGCACTGAATTTACGTATTTTATTGCGTTGGAAGACATAATTTTCACGTACCCAATTCAATTGGCCAGTCGAGTAGTCACGAACCTTTTTCACCTTTAGATAAAACAAAATTTATCAATTAATTTCCCATAAAAGAAGAAAATGAAAAGAGAAGATCTACCTGATCATAATACTGATCTTTAAGTGATGTTAAATGATTTGAACCAATATCACGAAATTCTTTTAAATGTTTCGCCTGAGAAGTGTAACTACTTTGTATCCATTCCACTTGTTGTGTGCAATTCTCGCGTATGCGATGTACCTTAGGATTACAGAAATAAAAAAATAATTAAAATATCTTTTCTGCCATATGCATTTATTAAATAATTTACCTGTTGAGCATAATTTTCTCTTAACTTTTCCAGCTGTTGACTTTTATAGGTCTCTATACTATCCAGCATAGCATAGATTTGTTTCGATCGCGGCGAACGTTTGCTACGAGATGCACAACAGAAGAATTTTTCACAAAAACGATATCTACAATTTAACAAACAATAATAACATTAAATTAAATAAGTTATTAATGGGTTTTTTGTGTTTTATGTTTAATGTCACCAACTTATTGAAAATTGCTCTTAATCCTTGTACAATTAAGGTCAATAATAAAAATGATGTAGCCGCCGCTATAACCCGATAATAAACTACCAATTTTAACGCGGTAAAAAACATAGGATCTATTTGTAGTCTGTGGGAATAGGAAACAAAAAAGGTAATTATTAGGGTAAAATACTACAAACAATTGTGTAAATTACCTTATAATGCTGAAGCATTTCCCATAACATTGTAAGCATAGCATGTATAAGGCCACTATCACGTCTCGTTATATTGCTAACCAACGAACCATTTTCTATTAGTGCGATACGCTCCTTGGCATCTGGTCGTTGTAGACTAACATTCAGTGTTGTCTCATCACCGGTCAGTTTATTAAATTGAAATTTACCCAATTCTTTGTCGTTGTGATTGATTATAATTGGACGTTTATCAGGATCGGCATGATAACGTAATATTTTATTTGTTGGTGTTACCTGGAATTCAAATTTACCATTAAGATCATTTTATATTAGAAAAGAAAGTTTATAATTCAAACTGGTTTGAAACACAAACTTTTCACAAATTCGGGAGTGGAGAGAATCTTTGATATTGAGATAATTTGTAGATTTATTTTATTAAATTTTTATTGTAGTTGTAGATGCTGAGCGGTTCTGAAGGTGACAATTTTTATTCTCACGCGATATTTTAATATTGATACGTAGGAATACGTCTATACTGAGGGAGTAACAATCAGTATAGACGATATTGTAGATCTAAGAACGATCATAGACTGACATCAAAATGTTGAAAGTAGGTACAAAATCTGTGTGATCAATAGTGGTCCTTTCCAATTCTTAATTAAGTAAGTAAGTAAGTAAGTAAGTGTAAGTGTAAGTAAGTAGTAAGTAAGTAAGTAAGTAGTAGTAAGTAGTAGTAAGTAAGTCAGTAAGTACGTAAGTAGTCCTACAGTACAAGTAAGTAAGTAGTCCGTCCGTCCGTCCGTCCGTCCGTCCGTCGTGTCCGTCCGTCCGTCCGTCCGTCCGTCAGTCCGTCCGTCCGTCCGTCCGTCCGTCCGTCCGTCCGTCCGTCCGTCGTCCGTCCGTCCGTCCGTCGTCCGTCCGTCCGTCCGTCCGTCCGTCCGTCCGTCCGTCGTCCGTCCGTCCGTCCGTCCGTCCGTCCGTCCTCCGTCCGTCGTCTCCGTCCGTCCGTCCGTCGTCCGTCCGTCCGTCCGTCCGTCGTCCGTCCGTCCGTCCGTCCGTCGTCCGTCCGTCCGTCCGTCCTCCGTCGTCCGTCCGTCCGTCCGTCGTCCGTCCGTCCGTCCTCGTCCGTCCGTCCGTCCGTCCGTCCGTCCGTCCGTCCGTCCTCCGTCCGTCCGTCCGTCCGTCGTCCGTCCGTCGTCCGTCCGTCCGTCCGTCCGTCCGTCCGTCCGTCCGTCCGTCCGTCCGTCCGTCCGTCCGTCCGTCCGTCCGTCCGTCCGTCCGTCCGTCGTCCGTCCGTCTCCGTCCGTCCGTCCGTCCGTCCGTCCGTCCGTCCGTCCGTCCGTCCGTCCGTCCGTCCCGTCCGTCCGTCCGTCCGTCCGTCCGTCCGTCCGTCCGTCCGTCCGTCCGTCCGTCCGTCCGTCCGTCCGTCCGTCCGTCCGTCCGTCCGTCCGTCCGTCGTCCGTCCGTCCGTCCGTCCGTCGTCCGTCCGTCCGTCCGTCCGTCCGTCCGTCCGTCCTCGTCCGTCCGTCGTCCGTCCGTCCGTCCGTCCGTCCGTCCGTCCGTCCTCGTCCGTCCGTCGTCGTCCGTCCGTCCGTCCGTCCGTCCGTCCGTCCGTCCGTCCGTCCGTCCGTCCGTCCGTCCGTCCGTCCGTCCGTCCGTCCGTCCGTCCGTCCGTCCGTCGTCCGTCCGTCCGTCCGTCCGTCCGTCCGTCCGTCCGTCCGTCCGTCCGTCCTCCGTCCGTCCGTCCGTCCGTCCGTCCTCCGTCCGTCGTCGTCCGTCCGTCCGTCCGTCCGTCCGTCCGTCGTCCGTCCGTCCGTCCGTCCGTCCGTCCGTCCGTCCGTCCGTCCGTCCGTCCGTCCGTCCGTCCGTCCGTCCTCCGTCGTCCGTCCGTCCGTCCGTCCGTCCGTCCGTCCGTCCGTCCGTCCGTCCGTCCGTCCGTCCGTCCGTCCGTCCTCCGTCCGTCCGTCGTCCGTCCGTCCGTCCGTCCGTCCGTCCGTCCGTCCGTCCGTCCGTCCGTCCGTCCGTCCGTCCGTCCGTCGTCCGTCCGTCCTCCGTCCGTCCGTCGTCCGTCCGTCCGTCCGTCCGTCGTCCGTCCGTCCGTCTCCGTCCTCCGTCGTCCGTCCGTCCGTCCGTCCGTCCGTCCGTCCGTCCGTCCGTCCGTCCGTCCGTCCGTCCGTCCGTCTCCCGTCCGTCCGTCCGTCCTGCCCCCGCCCGCCCGCCGTGCTTCTTTCCCCCCGGCTTGTCGCCGGCGTGCTCTCTTTCTTCTTTGCTTGCCCTTCCCTCCTTCTGCGGTCCTTTTCTCTGTTTGGCTCCTCGGCCTTCTGCCTTCGCTTTGCCGCTTCCTCCTCTTGTTATTTGCAGAATCCTATTACCCCTTTTTAAGCCTTGCAATCTTCTTCTCAATATTCTATCTTCCGTTTGTTGGAATGAGGAAACCTACTCGAAATGCAGAATAGCGATGATTGTTTTCAATTTGGCGTTGGAGTCAACTTATTAAAATTACATTAACATTTTTGCATATAATAATAAACAAAAGTTTATGTTGATGAGACGTTATTTTAAATAATATGAATTAATGAAAATAAATGAAAACAAAGTCGTAATCAGCTTACTATATATCAATAATATTAATATATACCAAACTCTTTTAACGTGAGATCCATTAATATCCTAAGCAGCATTTTCTTAAAAATATATTGTGTTTCTATTACAAATATAGATAACAGTAGAAACAAATTATATACAATAAGTTATAACCTATTAATGTAAATTCTATTTAAAAACAAAATACATTAAAACAACAATTTATTAATAAATAAAAAAGCCAGTAAAACTTCAACATACCCAAAACATCTGGTGATGGACTGCCCGAAATAAACAGTCCAATTTGGCAGTCGAATGTAATTCATGCATTTTAACTCCGGTCGCACTTTGCAAACGCGGCGTTGTACAATTTAAAGTTTTCAACACCGATATCATATCGCCCGGATAACCGTGTAGACATTTCAATGATGAAATCATAAGTCTAAGTCTTCTGATTTTTCAGAAGACGTAAACTCATTGTGATTTTCCATCAGCGAAAAGACGAGGCCGAACGTCGATGCATACGAAGGCTAGTGTTTGTCGATGTCAACCACGATGCCAACCAATAGAGTTTACAGTCACATATATAATCATTGTTCAAAATATTGATATTGCGTAAATTAGGCAAATAACTTAGGGTTTCAGGTAAAAAGGAAAGATTATTATGGCCGCATTAAGACGTTCCAATTGATGTAGGGACGATACCTCTGACGGCAGTTGTTGCAGGGCATTATGGGCCAGCAGTAGAATTTTTAAATTGGGCGCATTCAAGAAGAGAGTTTTGCTCAACGTTTTCAATTGATGATTGTGTTGCAGCGACAGATAAGTTAAATGTTTTAGGATCGACGAATCAACATACGAGTTGTCATTGCGTGACAACCAATTGTTAAGCTTTTCAATCGGGGTATGCTCGATGCGCAATGAAATTAAATTTCTCTGATGCATAAATACACCACTTGGCAGTTGGGTAAAACGATTATTGCTCAGGTCCAAATGTTGCAGACGCTGTAGCGGGTGGAATAGAATGGAGGAAATAGTTGTTAAAGCATTCGAGGATATATTCAGGGTTATTAAATTCTTCAACGACTCAAAGGACTTGCGATCAATGGTGGCAATTTGATTTTCCGATAAATCTAAATGTAAGAGTTTCTGTAAATTATAAAACGAGTTGCGGTTGATCATTTGCAGTTGATTTCTTTGCAGCTGTAATATGCGCATTTCGCCATTCGAGGCAAAGAAATTATCGGGAAAAGACAAGAGTTGATTGTCGGCCAAATTGAGTATCTGTAAATCGCCCATCGAACGAAACAGTTGAAAAGGCAAAACTTTCAGTCTATTGTGGGCCACATGTAATCTTTGCAGTTTAAAGACACCATCGAAACTATTGCGCGGAAGATCGGTTAGGAAATTATGGGTCAAGTTTAAAACCTTCAGTTCACTTAAATTGCTTAGAAATTTGCCATTAAATACGTGCAGACGATTATTATCCAAGCGTAATTCAATCAAATGGTTAGCATGGTGTAAAGGCGAAAAGTCACACAATTCCATATCGATTTCGTTGCCCGTTAGCTTAAGTACTCTGAGGCGTCTTACCACGCGCGGACGCACCCACTCTATGCAGACTAAGGCGTTACGTGACAAATCCAAAGATTGTAAATTGTCAAAATTTGTTTCATAATTCTTAAAGAGATCCTGCAGTTGACGATCTTTTACCCCCGACGAAGTCCAATGTAAACTATGCACACTCTCCAGCTGTTGCATTTGCAAATAGACATCCTGCTGTTTGTGGCCTTCATAGCAATGGTTCAGTATTATGTGGGCATATTTAATATATTTTTTAGCTTTTAGCTCTTCATTAACGTTGGGTATCGAAGTGTTTTCACAAAATAATTTAAAGACATTGTCTTCTTCAGCCACACCCGCTAGGGGTGTATTGAAACCTATAATATCATCTTGATAATCAGATAAAATATCTCTATCTTCTATATCATCAGTTATGGTGGTGGTGTCAGATCCATCTTTGCCTATACCAATAGCAGCTAAAGGATGTTGGAAAAATTTCTCTAAAAATCCTAAACTTTCTTTAGTGTGTTTGATTTGTTGTTGCTGCTGTTGGTTATGAAGTTGCAATTGTTGTTGTTGTGTTGTTGCTGCTTAAGTAGGCTCAATGGATCATTAGCCAGGGTGGTAATACATGATGTAGTTTTTAAATCATTATTATTAATATTATGTTGTAGTTGCTCTTGTTTTAATTCTAATTTAGTAGTGGACGCTTGTACCAGTAATGATGACGATGATGATTTATAATTTGTTAAACGACTGAAGTCAACAATTAGGAATAGAACCAATATCAGGGAAATCTTGGATATTGTTTCCATTTTTCTGTGTGTAATTTTAAAAATTTATATGGCATTATATTGTCATTCCTAAGTGGCATATTATATCTGCAATAAAAGAAACAAAGAAATATTTATTATTAGTTTTTTTAATAGCAATAATGTTATGTAATATTTGTTACTTCAGTAAAATGTTTAATTTTACAAAATCAATATTACAATTGTTAAATATAGAGTACATTTTTCGTGTTTTAGTTGTTATGTCATAGATATAATAATACAATACTTCTTACATTAACTCAACACCTCTCTTTTATTTTATAAAAAAACACATCTTTCAAAATATTCAAGAATTACAGACAAAATTTATTTTCATTTCTTTTTTTTGAACATTTTCTATGGCGTGCTTTAAAGCAATAACGAATGTTCTACTGAATGATAAAAATATACTACTCTATAAGATACACTACAGACTAAACTATAGAATAGACTACAGACTAGACTATAGACTAGACTATAGACTGGACTATAGACTAGACTAGACTATAGACTATATTATAGACTAGACTATAGACTAGACTATAGACTAGACTATAGACTAGACTATAGACTAGACTATAGACTAGACTATAGACTAGACTATAGACTAGACTATAGACTAGACTATAGACTAGACTATAGACTAGACTATAGACTAGACTATAGACTAGACTATAGACTAGACTAGACTATAGACTAGACTAGACTAGACTATAGACTAGACTATAGACTAGACTATAGACTAGACTAGACTATAGACTAGACTATAGACTAGACTATAGACTAGACTGTAGACTATAGACTAGACTATAGACTAGACTATAGACTAGACTATAGACTAGACTATAGACTAGACTATAGACTAGACTATAGACTAGACTATAGACTAGAGACTATATAGACTACACCGGACTATATACTAGGTTATATACTCTACTATAATGTAGTCTATAGTCTATTAGACTATAGTGTAGTCTATAGTCTATCTATAGTCTAGTCTATAGTCTAATCTACAGTCTAGTCTATAATCTAGTCTATAATCTAGTCTAATCTAGTCTATATAGTCTATAGTCTAGTCTATATATAATCTATAATCTAGTCTATAGTCTAGTCTATAGTCTACTCTATATCTAGTCTATTATCTAGTCTATAGTCTAGTCTATAGTCTAGTCTATATCTAGTCTATAGTCTAGTCTATAGTCTAGTCTATAGTCTAGTCTATAGTCTAGTCTATAGTCTAGTCTATAGTCTAGTCTATAGTCTAGTCTATAGTCTAGTCTATAGTCTAGTCTATAGTCTAGTCTATAGTAGTCTATAGTCTAGTCTATAGTCTAGTCTATAGTCTAGTCTATAGTCTAGTCTATAGTCTAGTCTATAGTCTAGTCTATAGTCTAGTCTATAGTCTAGTCTATAGTCTAGTCTATAGTCTAGTCTATAGTCTAGTCTATAGTCTAGTCTATAGTCTAGTCTATAGTCTAGTCTATAGTCTAGTCTATAGTCTAGTCTATAGTCTAGTCTATAGTCTAGTCTATAGTCTAGTCTATAGTCTAGTCTATAGTCTAGTCTATAGTCTAGTCTATAGTCTAGTCTATAGTCTAGTCTATAGTAGTCTATAGTCTAGTCTATAGTCTAGTTTAGTCTATAGTCTAGTCTATAGTCTAGTCTATAGTCTAGTTTAGTCTATAGTCTAGTCTATAGTCTAGTCTATAGTCTAGTCTATAGTATAGTCTATAGTCTAGTCTATAGTCTAGTCTATAGTCTATCTATAGTCTAGTCTATAGTAGTCTATAGTCTATCTAGTCTATAGTCTAGTCTTTAGTCTATAGTTTTGCCTACAGTCTAGTCTATACTTAGTATAGTCTATTCTCTAGTCTATTGTCTTGCCTATAGTCTAGTTTACAGTCTTGTCTATAGTTTAGTGTATTCTATAATCTAGTCAATAGTTAGTCAACTAATTCAAGTTTGAGCTTCCAATTGAAGAAGCAATTAAATGTCATAAACTCCAGTTTATTTATAGAACCCTTCATCTTAACATCGTTTGCAAAGCATTCATTTAGGGTTTTCAAAATTTTTAAAAAAAATTCAACAAAATTAATTAACAAAATAAAATTAGAAACCATATTTAACTATTATAGAAAACTGTTATTAGATCACAATGAATCAAAGAAAAAATAGCATAAAACGTCAGGGAATGACTTTACAAAAAACAATTTAAAAACAACAATAAAAACATAAAATATGAAAAGCCATTGTGATTTTTTATTATTGTTGTTGGTTTTGAAACAAGACAAAAAAAAAACAAAACAAATGGTTAAACACAAGACCAAAAGGGCGTTACTAAAACAGATAAAGATTTCAAATGTGGGAAAAAGCAGGCCAGGAATATAACCAATCCCAAATACTATAAGCCAGATAAAGAGAGGAATAAGAGGTGAATATTTTAAAACAAAACAAAATTTCAACACTCAGTAAACAGCAAAAGAGAGTAAGAGAGTGAGAGAGGGTGCGATCAAGAGAAATGGATGATTCATAAAAACAAAAGGAAAACATAAAACGGTAAAACAAAAACACAGAGAGAGAGAGTGTATTAATATTATTAATTAAAAGGGAAAATAACAAAATAAATATAAAAATGGTGGATTTTTAATGAAGTTTTTTTTTTTTTTAATAAAATGTTTTATATTAAAAACAGACTAAAGATGAAAGACGGAATGAAATTAATAAGAGATTAAGGGAATGGAGGCTTAAAACATGAGATGCTGACTAACAGTTTTAAGAAAAAACTCAAAACGTCAAGTTTGAATTGAAACGAAACGCGGATTAAATTTTGTTTTTTTGTTAAACACAACTTAGGAATTTGTTAAATTAAACATTAACTATTTAGTTAATATATAAATTGTTATTTTGTAATTTCTAATAAATAATAATAAAATGTTTTAAGTGTTTTTGTTGCTGATAAAATATAAGAATTTTTTATTTGAAATATTGTTTACATAAATCATGAAATGTGCCAATAATCGTAATTTACCTCTAACCTCTAAAGTAGCTAAAACCAAAAATCGTGTTAATACTAATAGCAGCAGCAGTAATAATTCTTTATTAACAAATGCTGCCAATATGAAAATCACCAAAGCTATAGTAAATTCTAAACAAAATCGTAAATTAACAAATAAAGGATTAACTTCATTGACGACAACAACAGCAAGTCAGTCATTATTAAATAATCTACAACAATACCAAACACAACAACAGCAGCAAACGAACTATGAAAGAGAAAATGAAATACAAGACAAAGGATCAAAAGAATCCTTTTTTAATACAAAACAGGAACAGTTAACAAACTGTTTAAATAATGTTGGGCTACAGAAAGAGATAGAATGTGAAAAAGAGGGAAGATCATCCCTGCAACAGCAGCAAACACCGTTAAACTCCATAGCCACAACAACAACGGCAAATACTACCCTCATAAATACAATAAATTCGGATATACAAAGAAATACAACAACAAGAAGAAATTCACCAACCACCAGAACAACAACAACAAGGAATAACAATAACAGAAAGAGAGCAACAGGCAACAACAACAACAACTGCTACTACCAGCGTTTGTACACAATGAGTTTTTAGGTTCTGCAACGGCGACAACGGCAACGATCACCACCACACCAACTACGAATTTGAATTTATCGTCTTTGGCTGCTAAGGCACCACAATTCATATCAGTTGTCAACGAAACATCAAACCAAACAGTGTTACGTACATCAGCGACGAACATAAACGAAGTACAAAATACACAAAATTTGAAAAACGACGAACAGACACCAAAGATAAACACAATTATAACCACAACAGCAGCGTCTCCAACAACGATAACGAATAATAATTTAGCAACAACAGTCGCTAACATAAATGACGAAGCTAAAGATCATTATCATAATAAAAAATTCTCAAATACGAATATAAATGAGCAAAAATTAGAAAATTCTCATAAAAATTATACAAATAATAACAATAATAATAATAATAAAAGTGACGTTTCAGAAAGTGTTAACAATAATAATAAAAACAACAATAATGATAATAACAGTGTTGAAACGTTAGCCAATCAGCAAAAATTAATTAATAATACTAATAGTGATAATAATACCAATAAAACAGTGATAAATCGTGTTATAACTACAACAACAACAGCAACAACATCAGCAGCAACACCCACAAATTCATTAGAAAATTTAAATGATAATAACACAACAACAACAGCAACAAATAATGCAAAAAATCTTCTAAATAATAACAACAACAACAACACAGCTCCACAAAATTATCGTGGCGCTAATAATTCAGTGATAATAACAAATTACAATAGCAACAACAATAATAATAATAACACTAATTCTCAAATCCCACAAAGTTCTCTTTATACAACAAGTGAATATATAGCCACCGATAATATACTCAATGCCTCTAGCAATGATCCAATTTAAATTTGGCAGTTATAGGTTCTACGGCACATTTAACATCACAACAACCCTCACCCTTAACTGGAGCCCAATTGCAGGCGCAATTACCACAACATCACCCCTCTAATACGGAACATTGGTTAAATTCTTATAACTCCTGTGCCTATGATTTATCTTTGAATCATACTCCCTCTAACGGAGATAATACGAATAAAGATTTAATAAATCTGCAGCTTTTTTCGCCGTTGGCTCAATTACATCATACGGCGGCCCATCATAATCCCCATCATTCAGCTAGTACAGCCTATTTTACCAGCTCGGGTCATTTAATAAATCCTGCCAATAGCAGTAGCGTTACTCCTTCTACCACCAATTATTTACACGACGACAATATGCGATCAAATCTAGGACTCTACACCACCACCTATAATCCTCATCACGAGCTTGTGCATCATCATCATCATCCTTTAATGGGTGTGCAAAATGTTAGTGCCTCTGCTCATACACCAACCAGCATAGATGAGGTTATACAGGACACTTTAAAAGATGAATGCCTGGAAGATCATCATACTGGTGTTAGCTATTTAACACTTTCAAGCTCTGTTGATGTTCAATCCCTAAAGGATTCCTATCATTCGGCCAATTTAACCGAATTAACACATTTACCCTCTATTGCTCCCGCCCATTTGCAAAGCTCTTCACCGCATCATCATTTACAGAGTATACATCATTTACATCATAATAATTCGGCCAGTTCGGGTGCTGAATCTCCTTCACCTTCATCGGCTTTATCGCAGTCGGGTGATATGGCTACTTTGCAAAGTTTTACCCAGTTAACGAATGCCAGTGCTGCGGGTCATCGTGATATCTATACTATGTTGACGGGACCCGATCAATCGCAGCTGTTCAATTTCACCTCACCACCTTCACCGGGACTATCGAATAGGTAAGTAAAAGATTCTTTGGACCCTTGAAAAAGTAATAGTTTTTGAAGTATTAATATATTCCTAGTATTGATGAAAATATCAATTACAAAACTTCGTTGTATCAATTAAAGTTTGTATTTTTCCTCCATTTTAAAATAATCTCTAAATTTAATTGCTTAAACTAATTTCTTAATAAATAATTTAATCAATATTTGTTTTAAGCAATAAACTAGCAAAAGACTAAACAAACAGCGAAACAATTAAAATTTTAATTGAAATTACAATCAATAAACACAAATAATGTTTTTCCCTCCATTTTCGTAATTGGTTTTCCTAGAAAATATTCTGTCATCTATAACATTTCAAGTGCACGTGCTTCTTTTTAAGTCTCAACACTAAACAATAGTTTCATACTATTTCCATAATATTTTTCAATAATTGTAACCTGATTTGTTTTACAGTTATATGCACTTTCAATGACTACAACAACAACAAAAAATAACCTTTTATTCCAAATGACTAATAGAAATTATACTCTTTTGTTTTTTTTTTAAATTCATAGTATTTTTTCAATATTTTTTTTTAAAGTAATGAAATTTATTACGGTGATTTTTTGTTAAAAAAATAATGAATCAAAAGTACAAAGATTTTCAGTTAGTAAGTAGTTTTTATGGCTTTTCTGTACGCCTCATATTTCCTGGGAGTTGTTTTTTTTTCATAGGCATTCAGTCAGTCACACTTAAATTAGCTAATTCAGGTGTTTTTCGAATATGATGTTTTCTTGTTGTTTTTGTTTTACAACTTAGTTTGCCATTCCGTCGGTAGAAGACCCCCTTCTTTTATAGCTTTGAGTTTAAAATTTATTGGTTGAGGTCGAATAAATAGTTGGACAAATTTCCTATCCTACGGACCAGTCTATTGATTAAGGAGTAGTTTATTGACTATTTTTTGATTAGTCTATTTGAAACAGTCTGTTGACTAGTTTATGGATTAGACTATTAACTAGTCTATGGACTAGGTTATTGGCTAGTCTATAGACTAGCATATTGACTAGTCTATAGACTAGCATATTGACTAGTCTATGGACTAGCCTATTGACTAGTCCTTTGACTAATCTTTGTACTAGGCTATTGACTATTCTATAGAATAGGCTTTTGACTAGTTTAGGCACCAGGTCATTGACTAGTCTTTGGACTAGTTCATTGATTAATCTATTTACTAGTCCTTTAACTATTCTATTGGCTAGTCTATGGACTAGCCTATTGACTATTGTTTGGACTAGGCTATAGACTAATCTATAGACTAGGCTATTGATTAGTTTATGGACTAGGCTATTGACTAGTTTAGGGACCAGTCTATTGACTAGTCTATGGACAAGGCTAGTGACTTGTTCATTGACTAGTCTATGGACTATCCAATTGACTAGTCCTTTGAATAGCCTTTGACTAGGCTATTGACTAGTCTATTGAGTAGTCTATGGACTAGTCTATTGACTAGTCTGTTGGCTAGTCTTTGGGCTAGGTTATTGACTAGACTAGACTATGGACTATCCTATTGATTAGTTTATTGATAATCTTTTGACTATTCTATTGAGTAGTCTACGGACTAGTCTATGAACTTTCCAATTGACTAGTTCATTGACAAGTCTATTGACTAGTCCTTTGACTATTCTGTTGACTAGCCTATTGACTAGTCCTATGTCTAGGCTATTGACTATTCTATAGACTAGGCTATTGAATAGTTTAGGGACCAGTCTATTGATTAGTTTAGGGGCCAGTCTATTGACTAGTCTATGGACCAGGCTATTGACGAGTTCATTGACTATTATATTGACAAGTTCTTTGACTATTCTATTGACTAGTCTATGGACTAGTCCATTGACCAGTCTATGGACTAGACTATTGACTAGTTCTTTGACTATTCTCTGGACTAGTCTATTGAATATTTCATTGACTATGCTATGGACTAGGCTATTGGCTAGTCTATGGACTAGTACTCTGACTAGTCCGTGGAATAGAGGACTAGTCACTTGACTAATGTATAGACTAGTATGTTGGCTCGTCTATGAACTGGTCCATGTACTCGTCTTTGGACTGGTCTATATAGATAACTTCGGGCTGTTATTGCAGGCAATCTTCACGATTTCACTCGAATTTTCAGAGATTTACTACTAAAGCAAGTTTAATAACAAAATAAAGCTTAATATATATAAATCTAGAAGTTGTTCGTTTAAGATTGATTAAAGCATAAAACATAAACTTTGGATTAACTTATAATACCCTCCCATTTAAGGTAGGGTATTTTCTCATATAATTTTATATATAAACAACTATTTATACAATTTCTACAATGATGCTGTACGACAATTTTAAAAAACTATATGGTTTTTTATATATTTATAAACAATAAAAAAACAATACAAACTAGACATTTGCAATTAAATAATTCAATATTAATATTTCAATATTTCAAAATATTGTTTTTTTCACAAATTACCTTTAAAAAGAAAAAAAAAAATAACCATTAAAGAATTTTTATGTTCACCACAAAAACCTCATTTTTAAACAAAATTAAAACTGCAACTGTTTTTTTTTTTGAATTCATATTTTGTTTGTAATTTATTTATTTGAAATAAATTTTCACACTGTGGGTTTTGGTTTGAAAAAACAACCAACAACAATAAATGTAAATAAACAATTATGAATACAAACTCATACATTTAATGCCAAATAGCCTAAATAAACTTTAGTTTTTGTTGTTGGAAATTTCAAATTGTTTGCTATTTTTCAGTTGCTGGCGGCAGACATATAATAATTATTCACAAACATACAAACATATTTACAATTTGAATTTTCAAAACTTAAAATAAGAAAAAAATTTCGAGTTTTAAATAACCATATAGAGTTTCCTGCAAATTAATGTCTACGTAACACATTTTTTTTTTTCAAATGAAATTTTAAACTTAAATGTTTGTTACAACTAAAGTAAATTTAATACACCCCCTTAATAAAAACTATACACTAAAAGAAATTTCCTCGTTTTATAACAAGTTTCTTTATATTTATCTCATATTTTCAACACCTGGTCACCTTTAGTTTTTCAGTTTCATTTAATCATTTAATTTAGTTTTTAGTTCTTGTTTTGATAACTTTTTTTTAAAACGTGTTAATTTAACAATTTTTATTTAAAAATTTCTCTACCCTCTTCCCCTTGTATTACTTTTGTCATCCCGCATTTTATACGGAAATTAGCCAAGTTTAGATTATTTAACTCTTTTTTTGGGTAAAGATATCTGTTGGACACACTTGAGCGACGTAATTGTGGCACGTGTTTGTGGCGTGCATGTGTTGCATTTTAAAAGAAAAAACTTAACCCGCATTCTACTAAATTTTTGGGGGGTTTTGTGCTAACCACTAGAAAATAGGTTTCCACCAAAAATTTAAATAAAGTTTGATGACATTTTATATGCAGTTCCAATAAAAACCAAGTTTGTTTAGAGGATAATTTATGAGTTAACACTTTTTTTCATTTAATGAACACCTGAAAGTTTACTGAATGTGTTTTTAAACCAAACTGTAGGGGTCTTACTTCTACCAATAAAGAAATGGACAATCGAGCAAATGTAAAGACAAACGCTTAAGCTAATCATTAAACAAAGTTAAAGTAAAACTACTCCTAATTGTTGAAGAATAGAAATAGACAATCTAGCAAATGTAACAGACAAACGCTTAAGCAAATCATTAAAAAAGTTTAAGAAAAACTCTTCATAATTGTTGAGCATCCTTTTCAGACCTTCTATTCGATTTAGATTTACAAACATTGCAAAATTTAAGTTTAATCTCAATGAAAGTTTTGCTTAAACTTTTAAATCTTAAATAGAGATCTGTTTTAATAAAAAGCTTTCTAATTAAAACTTAAGTTTAAACTAACATTGAATATTACAAAGCTCGGTGTTAGATTTCAGCTTTAAAAGTTTTAATTAAAGTGTTTATTAAAAAGCTAAGCCTAAAAATGGCAAATTTTCAGTTTTATCTCATCGAAAGTTTAACTTGAATTTGTAAATCTTAAATATATGTAGCTAAAGTTTTATTATATTTAGATCTGTTTCCCTAAAAAGCTTTCAAATTAAAACTTTAGTTTAATTAAACATTGAATATTACAAAGCTCTGTGTTAGATTTCAGCTTAAAAAGTTTTAGCTAAAGTTTTGATTAAAAAGCTAAACTCTTTTATTTTATAAATTTTATATTGTAAAGCTTAAATTAAAGCTTTAGTTGAGTTCAAACTTTAGCTTTGATTTAAAAAGAATACTTTCAGTTTAATCAAATCATTACTTTCATATTGAAAAGCTCTAGCTATGTTTAAGAATATTTTGAGATTTAAAAGTTTAATTTTAACTTTAAATTTAAGCTTTATTTAAAAATAAAACCTTCTATTAATCCACTATTACCTTTCAAGTTTTAAACAGAATTTCACAATTCAACACTAAAAAGCTTTAGATATACATAAGTCAATTTTAGATTTAAAAGTTAAAGCTCAATGATGGAACAGCTTTGATTAAAAATTTAGTTTATTCAAAACTTGACTTTCACATTGAAAAGCTCTAAATTAAAACACAATTTTCGAATTCCACCTTGAAAAAGCTCTTGATATGCAGTAGACATATTCATATTCAAAACTTTAAGTTCAATGACTAATTTAATCTTTTGTGGAGTTAAAACTTAAGCTTTATTAAAAAAGAAAAATTTAAATTTAATCAAATTTTGATTTTCATTTTGAAAAGCTCGTGATTAATACAAAATTTTAAAATTCCATACTCAAAAGCGCTAAATATGTAGCTTTGATTAAATTTCAATCAAACTTTGACTTTCATTCATAAAAAGCTTAAGATTATCTCAAAATTATTTTACTAGAACTTTGCTTAATAAGCAAACCTTCAGTTTCGTTAAAGCTTTTTGGAGTACACATTGAAAAGCTCTAAATATTAACAAGACAATTTCATATATAAAAGTTTTATCTGAA